AAAACGTGTAAGAACCCGAAAACCCCTTTGTTTCTGGCCAAAAGAAGTGGAGGTATGCAAATGCGACACGTATCCACCCACCAAATTTTAGTTTTACGTCACTTTTCCTATCATCCAAATAATTCGTTTACCAAACATGAATCAAAAAATTACTTTTACTTATCTTATGTAACATTTTTTACTATCGTGGTAAATGTTTACAGGTAAGATGGTATTTGGTAACTAGATATGATTGGTTTGCATACGACAGAATTAGATAACATTAGACATGACAAGATAACAGAAGTGAACAAAACAAGTGTCTATTTGGTGTTTGGTACGACTAAGACCGAATATGATATAAGTAGACAAGTTGTCCCTAAGAAATTGTTTGGTACAGGTACATCAATATCAATACCTACTTTTTATATCTTCAAATCTTAATGCATAAATTGATTTTCTGACAAAAAAAATATGCAAATAACATTTCTCTGTATTTTTTAGCTCATTAAAAATTGTTGTTTGACAAGACATAACTTAACTTATCGAAAAGTCACTTCACATATCTAATTGAGCTCTTTTTTAAATTATGCCCCCTATGTTGAGTGTAAATGCCCCCCTAAAATTTTGTGTTGCATCATTTTACATTAATATCTAGTTTATTACACTAAATTAATTTATATTTACACAACACCTATCAAACTCATAAAATTCAAAATACATCTTTTATTTATATTTATATATATATATATATATATATGATGAGGATCAAAAGAAAACTTTATGTAACATTCTAGAATCACATTTGCATATAACCAAATATTTCATATATAAAAAAATACAAATTTATATATTTGATCTTAAATATACAAAAGCTATATTATAAAAGTAGCTAACAAAATTTTTCACAAAATTCATATACAAAACTTGTATGTATAACAAGTATTTTAAAAAGACCACAGATAAGGATGATGTTCTCCACATCCCATGTATTATCTGTGGTCTTTTTAAAATACTTGAGGTCTAGTAAGCAATTTCCCCTTTTCTTTTTCCTTAGATTGAGCACGACCTGTAATGCACATTTTTTAAACACAAAATAAGGGTTAGACCTTGAGATCTAGTAAGCAACCTCTTTATGCAATTATAGGGTGAAAATCACCAAATCAAATTTATAAATCTATATTTGTAATACTAACTGTTAGGATCAAAATTGTCCTAAATATCATGAAGATTTTACTAAAGCAATTTGGGCCAAGTATGGAAGTCTGCAGACTTATCTTCAGAGATTTGAAATGTGCTTACAAGACTAAGTATAAATCTGTAGACTTATCTTCAGAGATCTGAAAAAAAGACTTCAGACTTATATTCAGAGATCTGAAAAACAAGTCTTTAGAGTTCGGGTGAGCTCAAGCGCATAAGTGCAAGTCTAAAGAGATATTCTTCGGAGTTATTTCAAGAGAAATCTCGACGAGCGCTAAGTGTCAAATCTGAAGACGAAGCCTGAAGACTTTGAGTTCAAAGTTATTCTAACTCTAAACGAGAGGATAATGTTGATCCTAACAACCTATTTGCGATAAAAATAATATCTTTCCATGTTTCTGGATATTTTTCTAAGGTTCGAATGAACAACCAGAACCCTTTGGTTAATTAGAGCCCCTTTGGTCTTACAACAAGTTCACTTCATTTCATCAATAGGATGTGACAACCCAAATCCTCTTGCATCACACAGATGCGATAACAAAACCCCATGATCAAAAAAATCATCATAGAAATTGATTGTGTCACCCTTATTACAAGAATATACTCAGCTCTTGATTATGTCACTCATACTACTAAATAATACTCAGCTCCTGATTATGTCACTCATACTACTAAATAATACTCAGCTCCTTGATATGCTACTCTTATGTCACTCATATTACTAAATAATACTCAGCTTCTTGATATGTCACCCTTATTTCCATACATGAATCATGACAAAAACCACCATTTTGCCAATAATGTCATCAAAACAATTTCATAACAATAACTCATATAAAGAACCATACGGTTCTATACCCAGTCTCACCATCATGCTAAAATAGCATCTATAAACAGTTTTATCATCATCCCCATATAAGAACCATACGGTTCAAATTTCAAATACCAAATAAGGAAAGTTGATAAATTTAAACTCAACTTATGTTTACGTAGATGAAGATGAATTAACACAACAACAAATTTCAAGTAGAAATCACAGAATCAGTTTTCTTCTTTTCCCTTACAGGTCTGTTTACTTTTCATCAAAGAGAACATACACACATAAAAGCTTTCTTATCCTTCTTACTTACTTTTTTTCCACCTCCCAATGAGATAAAGACCATTAACTCATAAATATACTATTTTATAATATTAATGAGGCAGTGGGATTATAAAACATTTTAAGTACATTAACACATTAAACCTCCACTTACTATCTCATTTAAAAAACAACCTCAATCAATATAACCAAATAATCCGATTATCACTTAAATAAATAAAAAACTAAAAAATGCCATATCATTCACTAGATTGATTGATATAATTAAATTGATAGTTACAAAAATATTTTTTAAATAAAAAATCCTTCTCATCTATATTTTTTATTCCAAAATACACAAATTCAACAAAATAAATTAAACCAAAAAAACAATCATATTTATCTTTTTAAGTTGACATCTATATTAATATATATTTTTTACCATTCTTTCATGATTTTTTATCTTTCATTTATTTAACGTTTTCTCTTAACTTGATTATATATATATATATATAGGAAAGTGCTTTTACAAACTCAACCATTAGTACAAACTATACAAACAGTTATTTGAGACATTTACAGAAATGAAAAGAATTTATTTATTATGTTTCAGATCTTTATAAAAAATTATCAGAGTTCATTTATTATGATCAACGCTTTATGTTAGGATTCATTCCAAATATTTATTAGATATATAGATGGTTGAGATTGTTTTGTATGATTTATAATAATGGTTGGGTGATATATGCATATAAATTAAAAATATTATTTATAGTTTAGATCAATTTCATTTTATATTTACTTTTTAATTATTTAAAAACATCAAACGTTATAAATCTTTTTTAATTATCGAGAAATATTTAAAAAAAAATATCATTGTGTTCGATAGTTGAAAGTTCTATATTCGTTTAAATATTTTTTACCATTTGTTTAAATATTTAACGACTTAATAAAAATAAAAAAAATAAACTTTTATAGTGGAAAATAAAAGTATTCAAAAGGTGACCTTGTTCTTCCAAGTTTAGAGGAAAACTGTTGTTTAAGCTATACTTTATTATAAAACATTTGACAAAAACTCTTAAAAATTATTTTTTATACATAAAATAATGTATATTGATGTGTATTACTTGAAATTCAAGATTACAAAGAAATTATGGTTAAGTATAACTTATTAAAATTTCATGTTCGAATTCGTGTAACTAACTGCGGATAAATATAATCAAATAGAAGATAAACATCTCATTTTAAAATATAGTTAGGATAATTATCGAATTGTAACAAAATAATTAAYTATTATCTTTATAAGAAAATTATATTACTAAATCAAATATAAATTACTTCGTTATTAAACTTAAATTAAATTATAATTAAAAAAATTGAATTAAAAAATTACACAAAAAATGAAGAATTTTAAATAGTTAATTTGATACTAATATTGATATAATTTTGTCAAATTTTTATGATATCTTCAAATTTATATTTTATTCAAAAATAAAAATATCATCGCTTTTTCAAAATCACAAAAGACCATATTAAACATCGATTGAGATAAAAAATAAAATAAAATATTAAAATTAAAATGTATTTTGCTGCATTGCACGAGTACCCTTCTAGTTTTTTAATATATATAATAAGGTTAGTTGGAGTTGGCCTTACGCGTCTCTCTACCAACTTGGCTAATTGGATTAAGACCATGTACGTTATAATCGCCCTCACGTCTTAAATGCAATAAACCTGCCCCACTTGTTTTCAAAATATCTTTATGAAAACTTAGGCATCGATACGAGCTTGTATGCATTTCTGGTATCTTTGTTAACAGTTTAATGAACTTAATGGAATTCATGACTTATTCGATTAGTTATACATGGTAATCTGTTAATGACTTAATGATATACAAAGTGTTTTATTCAGTAAGCTTTGAAGAGAAACTTTATAGGGAAAACCCAAAAAATAATTCCAAATGCGTCTCTCTCAGTTAAAAAACATGTTGTTTTTATATATGGAAAATACTTGCACACAAAAACTTTTTAAACGGAGAAAAAAGGAAATTGTATTCATAAACCAACAAATTATAAAAAAAAGGATAAATATAACTTAACTTATTATTTAAGTTTATTTTACAAACTTTCTTTAAACGGAGAAAAAGTAGCTTAACTAATTTATTGAAACGTTATTTAAAATACCAAGTAGGATTTCAGTAATTGTTATTTAATATTACTGGTATTAATAAATATTAATTATAGATTATTAATACTTTTACGTTATTCATTAGTATTAATCCAAAGTTTAAAAGTATTATATAATGATAATAATAAATTAAATTGAAATTCTACTAATTAATATATCATATTATTTAGTTTTTTTTTTTTTTCCTATTCGTTATGTATTAATCAACACACTATATTATTAGTGATTTGTTTTAAATATATTATGTAATTTTGTAAATATAAAAATTAATTATTTCATTTTAATACAATTTATCCAATTAAAAAATCAAGCCAATCAACAAACAAATGCCAAAAAGTTCGGTTTTAAATGGTCTAACACGTCACTTATGTTAGGCGCCAACTGTAGTGAGCGGATAAGATGGACTACATCTGTCTTTTCTCTTTTATTGTTATACAGTTTTGAACGTTTTTATGTCTTTTATACCACCATTGAGTCTCTAATCACGTTTTTGCAACTCTTATTAAGAACAAGAAAATATCGTCTTAACCAAATGTACATATATATCTTATTTCAGTCGACAAAAATGCATTCCATCCTTTCCATTTTTTGTAAGTAAATAAAAGATAAATACGATCACAAACTGATATATATATATAGATTTAATTTATATATACATGTTTATTTATTGTACAACTTGATTCTTCTTTGAATCTCCTTCTCCAACTCCTCGACTCCTCCTACTTCTTCGAGCTCCTACATAACCACCCATTGAAACTTCGTAAGGCCATCACGAGAACAGATAATAAACTGTTGATTACCCACTCAGATTACAAAACAAATTTGTAACGTATTCTCTATGATTGAGCGTCCAAAATAGAAATGACACGATTTTAGACTATACTTTTTAGTAAAACAAATAACAATTTTAAATATTTAATTAATAATTTATGGAACTCTGATATTTATTTTAAAACAAACATAAATACCAATTGGGTAGATCAAAAAAATAGCAGTCGCAGCTGCAAATAGTAAAACATTTATAATGGGACGTGAGAATTATAAAAAGTTTATACCTTGGGTCCCAAGAACAAGCCGTAAGGAACTCCATGGAATTTCTCTGTGTGATGTAACTGAAAACATCCACCAATCAAATAAATAAAAGATTCAATATAAATATAAAAAAACAATAAAACCTGATTTTTATTTACGTGTATATACATCAATATAACGTTAGTAATTATATGGACCAGACACGAGTATTGTAAAAATACTCTACGTGAGACCACTTTTTACACTTGAAACTTTACAGTAGAATGTTGTGAATGTAACTTTCACAGAGTTTTCGCTGTGAAGTTTCAAATGTAAAAATAAGTTTTAAAATGTAATATTTATCTTGTATATGAATTTAAAAATTGATGTTTAATAAATTGTATTCATGCATAATTTATTTGTAATCCTGAATTTTAAGTAATATGTATCAATAAACAGTAGTTAATACATAAAAAAGATTTTTAAGAGTTTTTTGTCAAATATTGTATAATATAATATAGATATAGGGGGTAAAATATGATTATTTTGAGGGGGAGGAATAGATAATAATAATAATAAAAATAAAAATAAAAATAAAAAGTAGGTGAACGAATGGTGTTCACATGTTAGTTACCTGATGAGCAGCTGCAACCCTTCGAAGGTAGGGAACGTTTGCAATGGGACCCACTTGGAATCTCTTGTGAACAAGGCCGTCGTGGACGAACATATACGCCATTCCGAACACCGTTATCCCAAGCCCCTGTGATTCTTCACTCATTAAACACACCTTTTTTTTCACACACATATATTTCTTACTCGTACGTTGTTTTTGTCATCAAATTCAATCAATCAACGGTCCAAAACTCGTATTTTTTTGAGGAGAAGAGACTTACGGCACCGAAACAGAGACCCGGTATGATGCCTTTGTGGAAGAAACCGTAGTTGAGCAGTGCAATCGCTGGAACCGCGTTTATGATGGCGAACACGTCGTTGAGCTCGAATGGACCTTCTCGCGGTTTATGGTGCGACTGAAACACGTCGATATCCACAACCGAATTAATCAAACGAACCAGAAGACTGTTTTGAAAAGTAATGCCGTAGCCAGACTGTAATAATAAATTATTGTTGATGATGAAATAATCAACTCAAATCGATTTGAATAATACCCAACTTGACTGGACGGATTCGATTTGATTTGGGATCCCTTGATTGGGGGTACGGTTAAGCAAACAAATACTAGTTTAATCAAATTGAAGATTCAGCTGTAGAGATTTGGGGACAAACACAAAATCTGTTCTGTTTTTGTGTTGAATTACCTCATGCATGTGCCACAAAGAAGCATGCCAAAGCGCTTCATGCGCCCATCTCGCCCAGTACTCCATTCCTACCTGTATCAATCGATTTCACCCAATTTTGAAATAAACCCCAATTTCAATTTCAATGAAGAGATATGGATGCTTACAGCAGCGCCAACAGATAGAGCAAATGTACCAAACATCTCCACATAAGGAATCTCTCCACCCTGTAAAAACGAAAAAAACCCATTTAGTTTTCCCAAAAATAGGATGGTATAATGTTTGAGTGTAGATAATAATCGACATACCTCCATTTGCCATGAAAACCGGTAATAAACAGCCATAACGGCCATGGAAGTAATCCCAAAAGTAGACATAATAGCTGCTATAAGGTAGGTAAATCGTTCTGATTTCTTTCTCGCCATTTTTTCCTCTACCACACGTTTACTAGGGATGATTTCCCCATCTGAATCCTCTCCGCTAGGCCCAGGATTTCCACTAGTGTTATTTTCAACGATTTGGTTTGTCTCAAACTTCTGGTCTCCGGCGACGAAACACATGGTCAAGCTGGGTGTCCTCCGAGACCGAACAAGTGGGTCGAAATTTCTGATAGAGGATGGAAATCGAGAAATTGTGGATGTGGGTTTTTGACCAAGGAACGGCATTCGGCCCAAACGGAAGGACCGTGAGCTAGAAGCGACGGCAATTGCTGCCGCCATTGAAGTAGAGAATTGGAGTGAAGAGGTGGGTTTTAAAGGAAAAGAGGGAAATTGGGGAAGGAGACGAAGTGGAAGACGTTGGTGAAGAAAATGCATAGAAAAATGAAGGCGGTAAGGGGAGAGGGAGAGTGGTGGTGAGTGGATGTAGACCACATGTTAGTTTGTATGCGGGAAGGGTCCCTTATTTATCACCACCAACGTGATTTGCTCCCTCTATGCCTTTTTCTTTTACCAGAAACGAAATTGTGTTCAATGTAACAAGATATATCATGATTTTAATACTTTATTTTATTTTTTATTTTGGTTGATGTTATATATGATTTTATATGATTTTGAGAAAGCGATTATGTTTTTATTTTTGAATATAATATATGTTTGAAGATATCATAAAAATTTGACAAAAATATATCGATATTAGTATCAAATTAACTATTTGAAAAAATTCTTCATTTTTTTGTGTAATTTTTTAATTCAATTTTTTTTGTAATTTAATTTATATACAATAACGAAGTAATTTATATTTGGTTTAATAATATAATTTTTTTATAAAGATAATAATTATTTATTTTGTTGGAACTCGATAATTATTCTAATTATATTTTAG